GTGTGATTTCCTAGACTCTTTGAAGACGTCACGAAAAAAGCCTAGAGGAATCTTGGTTTTCATTAAACGGATGACTGCGGACTTCACCAATCTCTTAGCAACCAATCTCCTCTATTAGTCCCTTGTTGGAAGCCAGTTTGGAGTATGCCAGTGTCGTTTGGTTTCCTATCAATCGATGTGGTCGACTTGAGAGAGTGCAACGTAAACCGGTGCAATATTTAATGTTCTAATCTGGCTGTCTTCAGTTGGGACAATTGTCTTTTTGCGATAAACTTAAAGCTGTTGGGCTGGATACTCTAAAACCTGCGTTGAGTTGCTGGTTCGCTCCCTTTTTGCTGGAGAGTTCTAAATGGTGTAATTGATGGATCCGAGTGTCTCCTCCTTTCATTTCAATATCCTGAATTGGAACTTTAGAAACTTTAACCTCATTCATGTGGCTTTTTAAAGAACTTGTTACGGATTTTCCGTTTGTATTCCTCGCCTAGCTAGTCTTCTCAACGACTCATCAGATATTGGAGATCCGATCGTTCACAGTAACAATGAGCATAAACGATTAATTTATTCTGGGTTAATTCATTCAGCAGGCCAATTTGGACATTAGTATACATTGTGTATAATTACATTAAATGTAAATTTACTTTTATGTCTAGTTTTTAAATTTTATTTTAATTTATTATATTACCAAAATAAGACAGTCATTGGGAGTGTTTCCCATCGGGACTTGTATAAATAAATTTACTATATTAACACGAGGTTATTTTATAATTAATTAAGGTTTTTAGTTGAGATAAAAAAGTCAATGGCACGAGCGGGATTCGAACCCACGATCTTCGGCTTGATACGCCGCTGCTCTACCACTTGAGCTATCGTGACCTAGATCCACTCGGACACCAACTTCCCATCTCAACCGCACCTTTGGAATTTTCCCTCCTTTTTTGCCATTTTTTACGCCATTTTATAATAATAAAATAAATTATTTAAAACAACTCTGAATATTCAGTTTTTTTACTGTTTTCAGTTTATAAATATATATATTTTATTTTGTATTTGAGGGCACTATGGGTTCAAAGTGGGCGTGGCTAAGTTTGTAGACTTTTTCTGTGTATGACGTTTTTTAGCCACAATAAATGTTTTATTGTGTGTATAATTCATCTATAATGTATATTCAAGAACAATTGTGTTTGTCTTCCTTCAGAATAACTGGGTTGGTCAATGTTAAGATGGGCGTGGCTAAATTTGTCGGATTTTACCGTGTCTGTGGTCACAATATACGTTTTATTGAGAGTAAATGATTAATGATAAATCTTGATTAATGTATGTTAAAAACATTGTGTTTGGCCTTTTTCAGAATAACTGGTTTGTCAATGTTACCGTGGGATTGGCTAAGATAGTAGAATTTTCCTGTGGGGTTTTAGTTATATTATGAATTTTAAAGAGTGTATGTGTGGAGAGAGAGAGAGAGAGAGAGAGAGAGAGAGAGAGAGAGAGAGATTTTGTATTCGCACTTCTTTAGGCTAATTGTGATTGACAACGCTAATGTGGGTATGGCTAAGTTTGTCGAATTTTCTGTGGGGCGTGGTTAAATCTAAAATATGCAATATTGTAAAAATTTTTTCATGGTTCATAATATGTACTTTCTTATAGGATATAAAGACTGTATTTTATAGGGTATAAGATAAGACTATTAGCCAAATCTTATTTTATTCTATCATTACTGCTATTCTGTTGGTTGATTTATGAATGAGTTGTTTTTCATATTGCTATTAAAATAATGGATTTAATTATAAAATGTTTCTTAACTTACCATCACCTTTATTAATGATTTTTTAAAGTTATAAATAAATGGTTTCACCTCTAGTCTTTAGAATAAAGGATTAAATACAAATCTAGGCTGAATAAAATTTATAGGATGCAGATAAATAACAATTTGGGAAAATTGTGGACCGAGGATCATCAATTTGCTTTGCTGAATTATTGAATGTACAGTTGCGAGCAGAGGAAAATCTCCGGCCCCTTATTAAATTGCAAGATATTTTTATGTCTACCATGTCTGTACACATTAAATTGAAAATAATGGTTTAATAATCCCAGAAAAGGGAATTTGAAAAAAAGTTATGAAAAATCGATCCTAAACCACATAAGATTAACAGCGCATGTCTCTAAACACCCGGGGCATTTCAACTTTACTCGGCTGCACAAGGGAAAAGGAGGCATTGTAGTTTATTGAATTGTAAATAATTTGAACATATAGTGAAAGAGAAAAAAAATTGTTGGCGTGAATGAAATATTACAGGATATATCCTACGTAGCACTTTTCCTTCACAATTTAATAAATATGTGTTTTCATTAAGTATGACAACGTTTTAAATTAATTATTATTGTTAAGATGAAATTACATAAATTTTTCCGATAATTAGAAAAAGATTCCAGGAAAAAATGACGTCGCCAGCTTGAATTTGGTCGTTCGCGAGCATTTTGGCCTGATTATCTTTGCTTAGGTGCGTTTCGTCATTTTGCCATCTACAGTGTGTCTGTATTATTCTTATTAAATGATAATAACTTAGCCCGGCTACCCTGCGTGGAGATGACCAAATTAATCATTAATGATCAAATTTCAGTCTTAAAACCCCTCAGACATTACGGAGAGTTCTCATAATAATACGAAAATTTTCCCAACTTTTCCCCGTACTTAAGTGTCACTCTCGTCAAGTTTATAGAATTATTTTACTACTTTAAAAGTTTCTAAAGTTTCAGACTTACGATAATTTTGATAATAAAGTTTACTATGGATGGCAATTTGGCCAAAAGATGCTACAGAGCTACAGTGTCAGTAGTGGATGATTTGTAAAATCTTCTTAGAAAAAATTCATTATAAATTTGAACAAGATTACTTTCTGGCCAACAGTTACTTGTTTTATGTCTTGAAAATCTTTTCTAATATAGAATTACAAATATTTGTATATTCTGTATACATACATGTATTGTGCACGATTTACCAGACCTGTTTAATTTATGGAATATAACGTATTGTATTCCAATTTGTTTCAGTTTCAGTATTTTTATTGTTGGGATTTTTCAAAAAATAAATAAACTGGTTTTCGAAATTTTACCGTGACCACGCCAAATATGTGACTTATTTTATATACGTACATACTTCAAAAAATATATTTAAAAAAAGATTGTAAAATAATAGTTTTTTCCTTCACATCGTAAGACGGCTTTTTTGCTTTATTTATTGATAAAAAATTTGCTTACATGAACAAAACATATTAGAAAAACCTAAATCTAGTAGGTGCGAGGAAAGTGAAGGAAAAGAAAAAAAATCTCATTCGTGTATATACTAGTCAAATATGTAATGAATCTTTACATTTAATGTTCTTCAGACGAGCTTGGGCTGTCAATAATAATAATAAAAAGGCTTAGCACAAATTAAAATAGTTTTCAAATTTAGCCTTGACCACGCCCAACTAGTAAAGATAGCCAGCTTAGCCACGCCCAAATGTGATTTACAATGTTAAACAGAAGATCATTTCACTATAACACGAAACGCGTTATTTACACTAGATTATTAGAACAAAATAATTTTATTCTGATTCAATAGTGAATTGTGTGCCTAGAAATATACTTAAAAAAATAAATTTGTTTATAGCAGCAATACGGTCTTTTATTTCGATTGCAAACTTTGAACCGAAACTATTCCAACATTAGGTGTAATACTATATAATAACTAATGAACTATTAATCACAGGATTATGTTTAGACTAATATTGTTGTTAAGGGAATTGCGAAACACAAGTCAAGGGTGTTTACACAGGCTGGCAAATAGATTCGACTTTCTCTCATGCCGACTCCTCTCGATTCAGAAGAGCGTAAATCCTTAAATAACGGGAATGTTGATGTGAATTGTGTTGATATTTGAAGAAAAGTTGACATCGAGCCAAATCAAGCTTGAGAAAAAACAAAAAGTATTAAAATGCCAACGAGATAAATCATAAAGTTGATGGCGGTTGTTCGTTCGAACTTATGACACTTGATCACTTTAGTCCGTCTACTCTCGATGTTGCGTTTCAATCAAACGACCCCACATCTTCAGCGAGAAACTGGCGAATGTAGATCAGTTCATCATGGAGTTCACATTCTCTTGAGAATTTTCTTAAATACAATTAACAGTCACAACAGTATAAAGGCCCTTCGATAACCAAAAGCATTTAATACAAAATCGATTTGATTGAACTTAAATTTAAAATTCATTATACACTGCTTGGGCCGAGTTGCGTTGTAACATGTAATGATTGAGTGAGTTTATGCTCATTAAGAATAATTTGATAAAAAGTATTGATTGTATCAAATTACATATGTGTATTTTAATTTGTTAATTATTTCAAATAAAGTTTCACCAATGATCATATAAAATGTAGATATTTCAAGTGACCCGGAAAAATTGTTCAGTAGCATTGGATAATAAAAATTATTAATGTCCTTCATTTCAGAAAAAATTAAGATTATAATGTATGCTTAAAACGGTTTTTAGTCCTAATAAGGTTTGAGATTATTGGATTAATGCGAGCGTTTCTCTCTCTCTCCCCCTTAAGCTTTTTTTTTTAATAAGGTTTATAATCATAAGTCCTCAAAATTTATAAAACGAATCAATTAATTAGAATTATATAACGCGTTTTATTTTCATGCGACAATTTTACTGTCGGCTGATGCTGTTTTATTTCTCGGCTCCACTTTCCTGTCAGTGGGGGGAGACGGTAACAAATTGACGTACCGCCAGTATCAAATTACAAAATTATGACTAGAAAGAACCTCTTTGATTAATTTATAATTATCCGTGACCAAGTACTCTCGGAAAAATCAACGAAGTCAAGTTTAAAAAAAAAAAATGAAATAAAGAAAATTCACTTTTAAACAGTTACCAATAGATCCTTCCTTTTCGCCAGTTTTAAACTGTATAACAATACAAAAAATTTCAAACGTATAAAATTAGAATTATTTACCTGTTTGGTGAGAAGTACGATGGCAAGAATGTAAAGATTGAGACATAGGCCAATTAGGGAGAGGACTGTGAGGAAGCAAAGGCCTAATACAGGCCCGCCCATCACATACTCCCATCAACACTCCTGCAAAACAAGAAACATCATTAGTAATAGTCAGAACGAGATCATGAAAAAAGAACAATTATGTTTTAACAATATTTCAACCGTAACGGATTTTTGTTCTACATTATCGTTTAATTTTTTTCTCAGAATAATAATGTACACAAATAATTCGTCTTCGTCATCCTAACAATATTATCTTTGCTCTCTCTCCATTCTCTCTATTCATATAATTAAATACAAATATATATCTTAGGTCACTAAAGTATGGACTTTTTTATATATGTAAGTATAATTTTTTTATATATGTATACAAACAAATCTCGTCCCTGAAGAATGATGCGTATAATGCATGTGTAATATATAAGAAAAAGCGAACGAAAGCTCTTCTGGTTGGTATTGTCAATAGCAAAGTGGGCGTGGCTAAGGTGGCAGATTATCCTAAATGGCTTGGACTGCATTTATATGTAAACAAGTGGTATAAAAGTTTTCTTAGAAAATCTATAAATACAACTTGGCTAAATATTATAATTACAACCAGCTTGCAAGCTTGTACAGTATATATGTTTGTAGAGAGAAAGAGAAAGAGAAAGAGAGAGAGAGAGAGAGAGAGAGAGAGACAGAGAGACAGAGAGAGTGAAAGAGAGAGATAGGTAGGTAGGTCGATAGATAGATTGAGATTGGGAGAGAGAGAGTAAGAGATAGGGAGAGAAAGAGAGGAAGTATAGAGAGAGAAGAGAGAGAGAAGAGAGAGAGACAGAGAGAGAGAGACAGAGAGAGTGAAAGAGAGAGAGAATGAGAGAGAGAGAGAGACAGACAGAGAGAAAAAGAGAGAGAGATAGGTAGGTAGGTCGATAGATAGATTGAGATTGGGAGAGAGAGAGTAAGAGATAGGGAGAGAAAGAGAGGACGAATAGAGAGAGAAGAGAGAGAGAGACAGAGATAGAGAAAGAGAGAGAGAGGGAGAGAGGAGAAGGAACGAGAAATATAGATATACAAATAGACATGAAGGTGCAGTGAAACAAGATTAGATACTAAAAGATCTACGATCGAAACACAACGTTGTGCGAATTTAAGAAAATAGTGTTAGTAGTTGTTCTCCCTGTTTATTAAATTGAGAGAGCGCGGGAGAGAGAGAGAGAGAGAGGGAGAGAGAGAGTAAGGGAGAGGGAGAGAAAGAGAGAGAGAGAATAGAGAGAGGAGAGAAAGAGAGAGTAAGAGAGAGTAAGAGAGAGAGGGAGAGAAAGAGAGAGAGAAAGAGAGAGAGAATAGAGAGAGAGAGGAGAGAGAGAGATAGGTAGTTCGATAGATAGATTGAGATTGAGAGAGAGAGAGAGAGAGAGAGAGAGAGAGAGAGAGAGAGAGAGAGAGAGAGAGAGAGAGAGAGAGGGAGGGAGAGAAAGAGAGATAGTAAGAGAGAGGGAGAGAATAGAGAGAGAAGAGAGAGGGAGAGAGAGATAGGTAGGTAGTTCGATAGATAGATTGAGATTGGGAGAGAGAGAAAGAGAGAAAGAAAGAGAGAGGGAGAGAAAGAGAGATAGTAAGAGAGAGGGAGAGAATAGAGAGAGAAGAGAGAGGGAGAGAGAGAGATAGGTAGGTAGTTAGATAGATAGATTGAGATTGGGAGAGAGAAAAAGAGAGAAAGTAAGAGAGAGGGAGAGAAAGAGAGAAAGAGTGAGAGAAAGAGAGAGAGATAGAGAGAGGGAAAGAGAGAGGGAGAGAGAGAGTGAGAGAGAGAAAGTACCATAATAAATAATAGTATCAAAGTATAAATTAATACAACCAGTTTGCAACCTTGCACAGTTTAGGATGATTCACGAATAACGTGTTAAACTTCAAAGTGTATTCTAGTTTTAGAGTTTATCAGTGTAACAAAAAAAGAAGAAATACTAGTAGTTTGGACTTTGTTTGCAATGAAAATGGTAATTACGAAATTAAAGAAAATTACATTTTGTACACGAGGGAACGTGCTCGTGATATAGATGCTGAAGAAGAATTTGTAGAGGAAGTGGACATAGATCCACAAACATAGATCCCCTCATTTCCCACACGAGTCTAGTTTAGAAAACGTAAACCATCAACAACCCGTACATTTCTATAGATGAAGGATTCACAGTAAATTTAAAGATTGTGGATTTCTTGAACGATTTTTGTGAACAGATGAGCGTTCGCTGTTCTGGACAAAATCCACGCCTGGTACAGTAAATTTCAGTGAAGATTTTCTATCAATGTGTAGGCAGCGTTGTTATTGGTGGTGCGATAATTGGTTCATTTTATAGGATTTGGGCGAACTTTGGAGAGAAATGCCTATTTAAATTTTCTTCAGTACTACAAGCGCTGCTTGATGACTTGCGTTTAAAAGATAGACAGCACATGATTTTCCATCATGATGGGGGATGATGATGTGATTGGGATACCCTATTACACTGCAGCTGTTAGAGCATATATAAACGGAACATTCCTGGACCGGTAGAAAAGGTTCTGTTTCCTTCTCCCAAGAACGAAATGTAAAAGGGACAGCAAATTTTTTTTTTGAACTCTAGGTTCTTTTTTCATTTTATTGTAACAGAAATAATGCAAATATTTCAAATTTTTGCAAATAGCGTCAGAAAAATTTCAATTCCATGACACGAATACTTGTGTGTAGATGGGTATGCCCCTAAGTTTGCGAAAAACCTAAATGGTGAGGGAAAATTAAGAAAAAATGTGAAAAACGACGTATTGGGTGAACTGAGATGTAGGATTTGGAAAACAGTAGGCATTCTTTCCCAATCAATTTATACACAAGCCAGGGGAAAACAAAACCAAAAATATCATCCTTATTATGGTTAAAATCTTGGAAAAATTAATTTAAAATAAATTATTTTATTTTCTTAATGTCCATAATATAATTTCTCCAACATATGGTTTCAAGCCTGGTAAGTCAACTGACCAGGCACAGTTTGATGTTGTTCACAACATTTCAAAAGAATTGGGTAGAGGTTATCATGTTTTCGGGATCTTTCTAGATTTAAAAAAGGCTTTTGATTCCGCCAATCATCGATTGTAGTAAAAAAAACTAAAATTAAGGGAATTCTTGAGGTTCCACTTAAACTTATTGAGTCTTATTTAGTGGGTAGACTCTGAGAACAAAATTAGGTACAAACAACAAACAGTATATCTATTGCCTATCGTCTCAGGTGTCCCTCAAGGAATGATTTAAGTCCCCTATTTGTCCTTTTATAAATTAATGAGTGCCCGGGCACTCTCAACACGACAGACAGGAATGACATATCTACACAGAAAACAAACTCTTTGAGCCCTAAAGATGATCTCAATAAAGATCGAAACGTTGGCACGATAATGAAATATTTTTCTTAAACCTATGTCACACCAGACCGCATCTCACAATCTCTGAATAATCATTGACTAACGGTCACTAAACACAACACATTTTCTCAGTGACATAACTCCTGCCACCTGTTACAAGCACTGGTTTTAGGTGACAGGTGAAAATGTGGAGATTGGTTAAATGACTTAATTTTTAGTTATTGTTTTATTATTTTTATTTTATTTTCTAATTTTTTTTTCTCTTTTTCTGTATTATCTTACTGTATTACTATACTTGTCGCAATAAAATTATTACTATTGAGAATCAAACAAAGGTCAATAGAAATTTTTTTTATTTTGGCTGTGCAAATGAACAAATTATTCATGATACTATTACGAAGAAAATTAGGAAGATGGAGGAAAAAATTGATCTAAAGTTTCCAAGCAAATACAGCAAATATAAACTTCACCACGGCCCTTCGCGAATGAAAATCTTGGAGAATATCTTTCCCGAAACAAACAATTTTCGTACATAATACTACATAACTGAAGTTGACATTTGCAAAGTGGGTGGGGCTAAGCTGATAGATATCAGTTGGGCGTGGCTAAGATGGACTTCGTACACCGGGTAAAGTTCATTAACAGAGCTTGCAATCGAGGCAGTTTTCTTCTCGGCGTCTTTTAAGTGAGACGTTGAACGTTCATCAGGCATTGAAAATGAGTCGCATATATATGTAAATAAGAACATTAATGACTTCCAGGGGTGCGATAGATGTTTGTGTAGGATAGATTTATTTGCGTCGACTACACCCCAATGCATGATGATACAGTTGTTCATGAATACTCGGCCGATATTATATTCACGTCTGATTCGAATCCTATGGCGGCATTATAGCGCGTTTGCCATCTCCCGCTAATATAGATAAGGTGCGTGTAACATTCATGAATAATGTAAAGCTCAGAAGCTAGCTGGTTGATTAAAAAAACAAATCTAGAGATAAAGTAAGATTAAATTAATATCAGTATATTGTAAAGGGAATATCAGTTTTTAAATAGTACAACAATTAACCATAAAAGAGGACCATTTTTAAAAGTTATGAAGACAAATCTGTTTCAACCTCATAGAATTGTAAGTAGTAGATTGTTACAAAGTCCTTGTGCATAAAAACGGCTTTATTTAACGTTTAATGTAAGGCAATTACTTGAATGTAAATGTTTCATGTAAATTCATTGCTTATTTGTATTTAGCAACGATAACAGGCTTCGAGAAAAAAAATTTCATTGACAATCTCAGACCATAGTAGAACGTCAGGGATATAAGCAGGGAAAGGCAGGACAGTGAATTATTCCATTTCTTCCATCAAAGAAGGATCGCTCGATATTTTTACTATCAACCTGTTGGGTATAACGGTCAAAACAATCCTACCGTCTGGGACGAGATTTTTAATCTCACTAAAAATTAAGTACGATTTTTTCATTCTTTAGTACTACATTTTCCAAAAATGTCCAATTTTCAGCATTAGTTGCATCCCCAAAAACCAAAAATCCCTGCTCTTGGGAACTTAAGTGCGAATTTGTCCCCAAACTGACAAATGTTGAGCAAATCCCATATAAGTTTTCTATTGTTGTAACGTATGAAACTCGGGTTGTGGCCGTAATCCGGGGGGTGGTATCACACAAATCCTGGCTTACAGTCAGGCTTTACACCATTAGCA